AATTCCACATATCTATACTATCACACACATATATCACACATGTATATACTATCACTGACAGGAATTACACATGTAAAATTATCACAGCTATTGTAAAACATGTACACTGACTGTATATACTTTCAAAGCTATGCAGTTATTATACATGTATTAAGTATCACACACAGGTCTTATAAGTATATTACCACAGACTTGTATTACACATGTATATACTACCACAGACATGTATCACACATGTATATACTATCACAGACAGGTATTATACATGGAAATTAGTATCACAGATAGGCATGACATATGTAGACACTATCACAGACAGGGATTATACATGGAAATTAGTATCACAGAAAGGTATGACACATGTACAGACTATCACAGACAGGTATTATACATGGAAACTAGTATCACAGATAGGTATGTCACATGTACACACTATCAAAGACAGGTATTACACATGTACACCCTATCACAGACAGGTATTATACATGTATCACAGACAGGTATTATACATAGAAATTAGTATCACAGAAAGGGATGACAAATGTACACACTATCACACACAGGTATTACACATGGACATTAGTATCACAGACAGGTATTATACATGTATCACATATAGGTATGACTCATGTAAACACTATCCCAGACAGGGATTATACATGGAAAGTAGTATCACAGACAGGTATTATACATGTATCACAGACAGGTATTATACATAGAAATTAGTATCACAGAAAGGTATGACACATGTACACACTATCACAGACAGGTATTACACATGGAAATTAGTATCACAGACAGGTATTACTCATGTATATACAATCACAGACATGTTAACACATGTACAGTACATGCTAACACACTATTACACATGTTCTCTTATTTCTTTACACACATCATATAACTTAATATCTTAATCATAACATTATTTCTTCCCTGGTCAAGAGATATAGGATATAAAATATATACTGTCAATGAAAACATTAAGTCATTCAGAAGGTATGTATCACTAACATTCATATTTTAAATGCAATTATTGCAAAATCCTTTCATCAATAATTCTATCCAAGCTAATTTGAGCTTTGCTTCTCAATAGCAAGTTGAGGCTACACCTTTCATTATTTATTTACCTGGTCTGAAGATTTAACTTCAATATTTCTTTTAATTAGGATATTTTGCTACATACAAAGGTGAGTGATACAGGCCCTCTCTGCCTCTTTTATCACATCTTAAACTCCCAGGTCTAAGGATGCATACTTCATAGTACATTTGGTTGAAATACAAGAGTGAGTTTGACCCTACTGTCAAGGTGACATCTAGGTCAAATAAGTAAAAAAAATCACATAACTTCTGAAGAAATGAAAGTCCTAAAACCATGATATTTGTCTGTTAGCTTCCTGGGTTGGAGCCTTACTAAATATGGGAATAAAAAAGACCTTGACCTACTTTCAAAGTCACAGAGGTCGAATATGTCAAAAACTTCAGTTCATTCTGAAGAAATGAAATGCCCATGAGAATCATGATATTTGGCTGTTAAAAATATAAGCTCATTTGGATGGAGCTTGACAAAGTTTGCTTACAAAAATTACATTGGGTTATATTTGTGGTCACAGGGGTCAAATATTTCAAAACTTCAAATGACTTCTTTTAAAGAACCCATACACTTGATATCAAGAGCATGATATTTCACAGGTTTTAAATTGAAATTAAAGAGAAGGGAGCTTTCTGCAGAGTTTATGTTGAGAGGTATATATACATGCATTCACTAAAATTAATTAAAATAATATTCATGCTCTAAGATCAGCTGCAAACCACAATTTTCAGTTACCAAATTAAAGCCTAGAATAAATACTCTTAAACGAACTTTCAGTTATTCTGGACCTGAAATATGGCAACCTATATGAATTTAATGTCACCAATATTGTAAACAAGTATCTGTCTAACTATCTTCATATACTTCTGTACTATTATGAACATTATTGAGTGCATGTTGATTATTGATCATCTATGTTTGTGTACCTTTTTAAAGAGGGTCTCATAGGAGATTAGCCTTTATTGTTTGCTAAATAAGTTGTACCCTCTAAAAATAAAGCGTTATTATTATTATTAAACAGTGTATATAATTAGGATTGGTATATTATATATATACACAGTAATTATACACTTAAAGAGTAATACAGAGTAATATTAACATTATTCTGAACTTGGACTCAATACGGCACTAACTTTATCATTATTCCTCATCCTACTACATATATATCTATTTAAGGGTCTGTAGTTTATTTTTCCAGTTGGCATACATGTATGAGCAAGTCAGAAAATTGGCGCATAATTAATTCATACCTTTTAGCTTTTAGATTTTTTTTTTCAAAAGTTTCAGTTTGGAATAGATATGTGTTTATATTTTGTATTGTTCTAAAGTTGCAAATCATAACAGATATTTAAATTACCTAATGATGCGACACAATGAGTGACACTTACACAAGACTAATATTTTAGATATTATAAAAAACAATTATGAAAATTATTACAATTGTAAATTAAAACAAGTTCTGTTCTGTTGAATTTATATAGGGTGTATTTACCGTCAATTGGCTTTGAGACAAGTTAAATGCGAAGAAGTATTAAATCACTCATTATGTCTCAAGACCCTTTGATTTATATCTCATATACCTCACCAGACTATGTACAGGATTTAATCCTTAAAAAGATACAAACAGTATACAGAATATAAACAAACAGTGATATAAAACAAGTAGTTTACACTGTATAAATTAAACCATTGGTTCTTGTAACTGCTATTAGCATGTAATTGCTAGGTGTATTTAATCGGTACAGCGAAGTAAACTTGCCTACAGTAGATGTGTGTTGAAGTACAAAAATGTGTAATACCTGTCTGTAATATTAAATACAAGTGTAATACCTGTCTGTGATAGTAAATACAAGTGTAATATCTGTTTGTGATAGTGAATTCATGTGTGTACCTGTCTGTGATACTAAATACCAGTGTAATATCTGTCTCACAGTCTGTGATAGTAAAAACAAATGTAATACCTGTCTCTGATATTAAATACAAGTATAATTACCTGTCTGTGATACTAAATGGAAGTGTGATACCTGTCTGTGATACTGAAAACAAGTGTAATATCTGTCTGTGATACTAAATACAAGTGTAATACTTGTCTGTGATACTAAATACAAGTGAAATATCTGTCTGTGATTCTAAATACAAGTGTAATAGTACCTGTCTGTGATACTAAATACAAGTATAATACCTGTCTGTGATCATAAATACATGTTAAATATCTGTCTGTGATACTAAATACAAGTGTAATACCTGTATGATAGTAAATTCAGGCGTAATACATGTGTAAAAGGGGGAGGTCCGGAGAGGGTTTGCATCCGTTGTCACTCCGTTAAATCCGTTTCATATCGTATAGTTTTTGGTAATGGTAACGAGTCGACAACTTCCCCTGCAGTCCTCTCTAGACCTCGCCTCTTTCGTCAGGTTACAGACCTGTTTTCACTACAGGTTTGAACACTGGATGTAGCGGTAATACCAGCAATCGATTCAATAACTCAACAATGTGTTTAAATATACAAGTAACTGTTTATTAACAAGACGGAATGAATATATATAACAAGTTTAACAACGGAAGATCATAACATTAGTGCCGAACAGTGACTGCTAATGTTAAGTAACTCAATTCCTATGTAAAACAATGGCCTATCCTGCCTAACAGTACTATCAATACCAGTAGACTACAACCAAGTACCCCTAGATACCTATAGATCTACAGCGAAACACTATGTATCGATGTCTAAGCCCGAAGCCCCTGACTATTCCTTTATACATATACTGTAGTTCCCATAGCACTCTATACTGTTAAATCTAAGGAGAGATAACTCCACCTAGTAGTTAGGTATTGGTACTGTTCGCAGCACCTTGGCCTATGTTGCACTGTTCGCAGCGCATGAAGTGGTAAGGTTCGCCTCACCTGAGATCTCGAGTAGTGCGGGTCCGGGCGGGGATCAGCATCTTGACAGGGTTGGTGAACCGACCGTTCACCGACCCTGTCAAGACGCTGATCCCCGCCCGGACCCGCTGTTTTATACCCCCTGCTCCCCCACTAAATAGCCTCGAAGATGAGTGACCAACTGTTAATCTCGAACCCAGCCTCACCATCTAAAAGCATGTGAGCGAGGAGTGGGAACCTATTCCTGTTATTACTATCACCCTCTTCCGGCCGTCTCAAAAGTGTAAAAACACAGATTTCAGCACCGGTATCGTAGCAGCTGATCGCCAGGAATCCTACACTGAACGAAAAGCCCTACCCTAAATAAGAGTGAATAACACAGAAGTAACAGATCCCTGTCTGTAAATCATAAATAACAATTATACTTAACAAAGTAATACAAATGTGAGAAGTAAACAACCTACCCTCCCACACATGTATGTGATAATAAATACAAGTGTTATACCAGTCTGTGATACTAAATACAAGTAGTAATACTTATCTTTGATATTAAAATAAACAAGTAAAGTGTTCTACTTTCGTTTTCAAATAAATGCAACAAAATAAGAGAGTATCATCAATTACCAAATTCTTTCACTTCAATATATATAATTATAAACACTTTTACCTGTTTGACTCCGCATTTTCTTCAATAAAAGCGTAATACATGAACATCATCCTTCTGTAAAGTACCATAACGCCTTTGGAAACTCGTGCTTTTTTCCATTCGGAACAAAAAATACGAAACTAAAAAAGATGAATATTAAATTACAGAGGATTCGTCCTGTATATGGGTCAGTTCCCTTGCTGCGTCGTTTTCGTCTGCTGGATAACCGAATTACTCGGTAGTGAAGCGGACCTAAAACCAATCAATCAATCAATCAATCAATCTGCGTCGTAAATTTCGATTTATTTCCAGCATATTTTTATAATAATATTTATCGGGTAGTTTAACCTGTTTTTGAGGTTTTTTCCGGCACGAGTTACCGATAAATAAACCGGAAGTATATTTAGCGTCTAAACTTAAAACTTTGTTATTGCGGGCCAGACGTCTGCAACAACAAAATGCTGCGTCAACGCGCTCTACGTGATGTGCAGAATGAATTTAAAAACATTATTGAAAAAGAAGCTAAAAATTACGAGCTGATGAATTTGGAAATATTTAACTGCAGCCCAGAAGGTAGTTTCAAATCTGCAAATATTAGGATGCCACTTTTTGGGATAGAGGAGCCCGTGCCTACTGATCCGCCAACGCCATGGCACATCTTCATGTTCGAATACGAAGATGTATTCAATTTAAAAAATCTGGAATTGTTGGTGCAAGATAAACAACCTGGTGACAGCGATGTCGATCCGGATCTGATGGCGGCCTACAATTCCCTGGTAGATTATATTGCAGGTAGGTCTACAGAACGTACGCGTGATAATGCTTTTGTCTGCGATGGCAGCGCAATCAAAATGGTTGCGTATAAATTAATTAGTTAGTGTTATGATACATATTTGGTACCGTTTGAAAGATAAAACTTTTGTTGTATCCTCTTATACAAAAACATTTACTTAGATTTATTATACAGACCGGAGGTTGCAAAAACAAACCGCATGAACATGTTAGGGAAACTGTAGGTAATTCCGACCATCATGAAAATCGGACCATTCGGGAAATCCTACCCATGCAAAGATAACGTGCATACAAATCCTTCTTCAGTGTTCCCACTCATTTTTGTAACAAAGTTGTTTTTTTTTGTAATGTACCCCCAGTCAGGCCTAAAAAAATAATACCTGTGTTTCCGCTAACATGCCAGAAAAAATAGGGTAGGTCGGTCGGAAATTCTTTTTATTTTTAAATGGCTATCATCATCTCATCATCATCATCATCTTCAGTAAGTGTTCTCCTCTTGTTAGAGTATTATCGCACTGTGGGGTGTGTGAAACATTTCCCTCCATTATATTTAAAAGTTCCGTATACATACAATTAAAAAGTTTAGTGCTCAGCAGTCAATGGATGTGTTTGCCAGTGCCTGCTTGAATATCTCAGCTGAGGTGGTACTGACAACGTTTTGCGGAAAGAATTCCAGAGTCTAATGGAGCTGGGGAAGAAGGAGTGTTGAAGCGGTAGGAGTTGGGTGTGTGGCTGTAGAAATTTGAGATTGTGGCCTCGGGTGACAGTTCCGGTTGGGACGAGATAGGATTCCGGTTTTAGATGGATGACGTTGTTTATGATGTTATGGATCAGGATGAGTCTGCATATACGCAGTTCTGCCCAGCCGAGCTGGACGAGCATGGCTGACACACTGCTAGTCTGGTGGTAGTCATTCAAGACGAAGCGGGCACCTCTGCCCTGAATCCTTTCCACGGCGGCAATGTTGCGCTGGGTATGGGGATCCTACACAGAGGATGCGTATTCCAGTGAAGGTCTAACAAATGTTTTAAAGACTTGTTCCTTTGCTGCTGTCGGACAGTGGCTGATGTTTCGTTTAAGGAAGGATAGTGTCGAATTGGCTCTCTTGGTGATCTTGTCTACATGGTGGGTATTCCAGGACATTTTGTTGGTGATATTAAGGCCTAGGTATTTGGCGCAGCTGACATGGTCCAGGCGGAGGCCGTGAATGGTATAGTCTATCACTTTTATATTCCTCTTGTTGGTAATGGTCAATACTTCACATTTGCTGGGGTTGAACGTCATTAGCCACTTTCAATCCCATTCCTGTAATTGGTCCAAGTCATCCTGGAGTTGCTTGCAGTCGGCTGCTACCCTGATCTTTCGGTATAGGAGACAGTCGTCTACGAATAATCTCGCTGTAGATTTTACACATCCAGGCATGTCGTTGATATATATGCGAGGAATAGGAGTGGCCCAAGGAGGGTACCTTGGGGGACTCCTATTGTCACAGAGAATGTGGGTGATGATTTATTTACCATCCAGGACGACGGACTGGGTTCTACCAGATAGAAAATCCTCTATCCATTGTAGTGTCCTGCCTCAAATTCCGTAATGGTGGAGCTTGTATACGTAGAGGAGCCTCCGGTGCGGGACCTTATCAAAGGCCTTCGCAAAGTCCAACAATACGGCATCTATTTGTTCACCGGTATTGATTCCTTGGGCGAGATCCTGGATAGTCGCGATGAGTTGCGACTCACAGGAGCGATGTTTCCGGAAACCGTGTTGTCGGACGATGAGGATGTCGTTGGAGTCAAAATTGTGGATGACTCGACCGTGGATGATGTGCTCTGCCACTTTACAGCATACCGATGTTAGTGATATAGGTCTGTATAGCTATATGGAGATGGCTAAGAATTCAATGTCAAGGAATTACCGTTACACCCATGAAATCTTCAAATTGCTAAAACAGGAAAGTGTAATGATTTTTTTTAGTTTTATGTTGTTTATAGAGTGATTTCCAATAGATACCCAAATGAAAAAGAAATTTAATTCTATACTAATTCTATACCAATGCTACAGTACTGGTCGAGACCACCTATGGCCATATTATGGTTTTCTCGAAAACTACTTGACACATTCAGGGCTCCAAGTGGCGCCTATTTTAGTCACCATGGCGACCTAAATTTACCATTGACGACCAGTAGTTGGCCCATAAGGCGCCAGCTTGGCGACTTAAAAAAAAAAATCCGCAATAAATCCGTTTTTTTTTTACCCGCCTCCGACTCCTTTGTTATATTAGCAATCATTACTCACGCTCACAGCAACGCTTGAATTAGCTCTTAAAAAAAACGTATAATATCCAAACACCTCTGAGACTACGATCACGAAGCGAATTGCAATTGGGCAAAATGACACTCAGGAAAAACAGTCTATTGAAGAATCAGAGACTCCACCAGTGATTACACTAAAGAAAACATCTAAACGCACCTTCCAGGAGAGTTGGAAGCAAAGCTTCTCCTGGTTGGTGTTTGATGGCGAGTCAAACATTATCAGGTTGGGCATTATTCCCCCAGAGGTCAAGACAATCTCGACTTTGCGAGAAGTCTTTTTATTTTCCGCTTGAATGCACTTGATTTCTACTTTCAGTTTCCTATATGAAAAATCTGAATTTTCGATTGAAAACCGCTAGGGCTAATGCACCATTACCCGGACACACCATTACCCGGACACTTTCGTTGATATTACAACATATCTTCCCAATCGGTATTTGTTGTTATTTTTGGTTTCTAATGATCTATGGGTTTTACTAATTTGACTAAATATGAGTTTGTATTGTTTCCATTACTTTATATTTACGATATTACAGTTTAAAGACAGTATGTAAAAGTGCATATTTAAAAGTGGATAACCCATTATTTTGATATTTTGCTTTGATAATTTTCCGCCGCATACCGATGTAGATAGCAAATAAAACAGCTAATGCGTTTATATTCAAATTCAGGATGCAATTTTACAATAAAAAACAAGAATTATAAGGTTTAAAATAATTTTCGGCCACAAATTTTCATTTTGAAACGAGATGCCAAATTCACCATCACCCGGACAGTAATTCACCATTTAATACCCGGACAGTGTCATAAGGTTAGGTAATAGTATAGACCAATTCACACTTGAGTGCGTAAGCGGCTCCGCGACGTCAGGTCAGAGGTCATAGGGGAAAACAATGCTTACATCATTGCAAAAATGCATGGCGTAATGACTGCCGTGGGCTGTGTGGGTCTCCGATTTAAACATTATTTAGTATGACTTCCATATTTCAAATCTTTGTTGGATTTTGCATATGAAAGCAAGTATGTCTAGTCTTTCCAAATCAACGCAATTATAATACAATTTCATTTGATTTTATCGTTGACCTGCATACGTTCTCGGCCCATCTGCGCGATCTGTCATTGTTTATGATTGTCAGCTGATTGTTGACAATGTTGTAATTGTTGAAAACAGTGTCTCGATACCCGTATTGTTGTCAGTTTAATTAATTTGTTAACTCAGTATATTACAAGGTTTATACAGAGTAATAATGATAAGACAATGCATTTGTTGTGGTCTAATTACGCCGACAAATCTTTTAACAGTTTGAGTGAAAACTGAAAATTTCAGTGAAATGTGCATGTTCTGTCAACACTGAGTGGGAAATGATGCTTTACTGTATAAATAATGTTAACTTATAATTGACTGTGTACAGTAAAGTCAAAAATATACATTTGATATAATATTTCTCAGACTGTTCTACTTATTTAAATTTAACAGTTACATATGTAGCAGTCTAGATCTGTGTATAATAAATGTTTAAAAAACAGGAAAAACACACCCAAAAAACAACAATCAATACCAGTACTGTACAATAAATATTTGTGTTTGATTGAAAGTACCCATCTCGCCATGTGCATTTTTTATGGTTTACCTACAAATTGCTATCAATATAATAAATTATTAGCTGCGCATTGTAATAACCAGAACCTATGGTGATCGACATATATTCATAGAGTTGCCATCGACATGTCCAGATAAGGGATCTTGTCCACTCATGTCGCAATAAATTGTCATGTCGACATGTCGCAATAAATTGTCATGTCGACATGTAAATTACCACGTCATGTATTCATATTGCTTTAATTATTACAACATGTCGACATGTTGCAAAAAATTATCACGTCCTGTCACCATTGGATGGTTGGTGGTAGTGCACTTGCCTTTCACCAATACGGCCCGGGTTCGCCAGTGGGAAGGTTTGGGTCACCTATCTGACCAAATGGGTTTTCCGGGTACTTCGGTTTCATCCCACAGTAACGACCTCTGTCGTGCCAAGATCCGTGCCATCGAAAGAAATTGACATTAGTTGTTAACTAAGTTGTTAACTAGTTTCTTAATTGATGTAAAATAGATAAAGTTTATAGTTAATTATCACGACATGTTGCAATAAATGATTACGTCAAGTCAACATGTTGCTTTAAATTATGACGACATGTCAACGTCATGTTGCAATTAGTGCTGTGTACATTTATAACAACAAGTAGAGGTCCGTATACGCTTCCGTAGTGTATCGCACGGGTGGTGACGATACGATACGTATCGCGATACATGGGTCACGATACGATGTCGTGAACTGATAATATAAAGCATGACGTGATAACTTATTGTGACATGCTAATTGCTTATGTCGACATGACCAGATAATCTATCTCGACATGTCAATGGCAACTCTATGTCACCATAGGCTAGCCCAGCCCCCCCCCCCCCTCCTCAGAATCAAATTGTCGCCCCCTAAGAACAAAAGAAGATCTACACGGATACCCCTTGAAAAAAGTACAAGGAGAATAAGACCAGGGTGTTCCGGAAGAGTAAGCATCTTCCGCTTCATCGACAACACCCGCCATGTAAATCTAGACCATGTATAATCCGAGTAATTTTATTTTCATCTATTCTGTGGTAGGTTTTAATTGTACTTAAGATCACGGTCA